TCTCTCTCTGTCTCTCTCTGATAAAACTGGAAAAGAATAATGATAATAATAATAAATAAAGTTAAATAATTCTTTTTTAAAAAAGAAAAGTAAAAAAGAAGCATCCCAACAGTCTCCCAATGAGAAACCTGGCCTGCCTAACATCAAAACCGTTCTTGGGGCCAGCCAGGTGGCATGGTGGTTAAGGTGCTGGACTCCCACATGGCCAACCATGGTTCGAATCCCAAACCTGGTGGCTTGCTTTCTCACTTTCCCTCTTTCTGTGTTTCTCTCTGGTGAGCACCTGAGTCTTGTAGCAAATTAAAAAAAAATAAGAATAAACAAAATTTAAAATAATTCATTAAAAAAAAAACGCTCTCAAACCTTTATGATTCTAAAGCACACTCGATTGTGAATAGCACCTAGGGCAAGAGAAGCATGTTTCAACAACAGCCAGGGTCTGGGGTCCCTAGGAAGGACTTCCCTTCACCAAGGGGAATGTAAAAAACAAAGGGCAAGAGGGAAAAAACTAAACAGCTTTTGATCAAGGCCCAAATGACCTCTCACAGCCTCCCCTAGTCTGGCACGACTCTGATTGTTGGGTCAGAAATACAGTGAAGAGTGAGAAGGGACAGGAGAGAGGAGGCCAGGAGCCACGGGGATGGGAGAAACTGGTAAGTCACTCTTGTTTGAAAGATGGGATGGGGGACCAGCAGTTGGTGTAATGGCTGTCACTAGACTCCCATGTAGTCAAGTCCCAGACCCGGTGGCTTAAACTCACACCCCAGGCATGTGTGCATGTGTGCCCAAGATCCCGACAGGAGAACGGAAGAGAAGGGACTGCGGGGTGGCCATCCCCCCGGGGGGGGTGATTTCTCACTTTCTGTCTCTCTGTCTTTCTGACAAGCGCATGAGCCCTATAGCAAAAACTTCTCAAAAAGAAAAGAAAGATGGGATGGTTGGCAAGACTAGAAGGCATGTGTTTCACAAGAGGCACATGCTAGGCCCAGCTGCAGTCTCACAGGCTGCTGAGATACCATGCTCAACAGGCTGGGACCATATGGAAGGCCTAGGTTCAATTCCCAGGCCAACCTGAAAGGCCAGGCATGGCAGTGCACTTCTGTGGTCTCTGCTGGGAGACTGAGGCAGGAGGATCATGACAGTGATCCAAAAAAGGGCTCATGTGGGGAACAAGTGCTCGTGGGGTAGTGTTCCCACCTTGTCTCCCTCCTAACCAACGGAGAGAGTTTGAGAGAAAAGCCAAACTCAACCGCTTATGTCTCAGAAAGACAAAATTCTTAAATGAGTGGCCTGAGGATGCTGGGGGAGGGTGGGGAGGAAGGAAGACTATTTATAAATGTCTACAGGATTCGGCATCAGTTAAAGATTGCCTGGGAGGAGCTGGGAGCAGAGTGGGGACAGGTCCAGGCAGGGAAAGGATGCCAGGAACAAACTCTTGAGGAGAGGTCAGGGATGAGAGCTGGAACAGTGCCCTGGCTCAGCTTCAAGTTCAACTCTGTAGCTGTCAAAATGATGGGAGAAAGGAAAAGAAAGGAAAGAGACAAGAGTCAAGCAGTGGGCATCTGAGGCTGCCTGGCTCACAGGACCCCAGTGCCAGTCAGGGGTGTGGCGTGTCAGAAGCAGCAGGAGTACCCACTTTCTGCCGTTTTCCCTTAGTCTGACTTACCTTGAACTCCACAAAGGGGAGGCCATACTGATCCCCTCCCACCCCCCACCGCTTCTATTTTGCTATCAAAGGCTGAGTTGAAAACAGCCTGGGTTGTGGTGAGAAGGCCAGAGGGTGGAGTAAAAGGCCAGGCAGGAGCAAGGGGGCAGCAGAGGGACAATTCCAAGTGGGAGGCCTGAGTAGAACCATGAGAGGTCAGGGCCAGACCCTTGACTCAACCTCCATTCACTCCCAATGCAACAGGAAGCATGGAGGGTAGACAGGAAGAATCTTCCTCCTCATGGGCCATACGCTTCCCAAGAAAGCTTAAAACACTGGGGAAAGACTAAAGCAGGTTTAAGGAGAAGATAAGGCAACCTCTGGGGCTCAAGATTTCCACTGAATATTCATCTGCCTTTGTTCTTTTTCTTTTTCTTTTCTTTTTAGGTTTTTGCCATAGGGTATGTGAACTCACAGGAGACAGAGAACGAGAAAGTGAGAAATTAATCCCCAGGGCGATGGCCACAAGACAATCTCCTCTCCTCTCAGGATTCTGGGCATGCACACACACACATGTCCAGTGTGATTTTCAAGCTGCTGGGTCTAGGACTTGAACTGCCGTCAGTCATGTGGGAATCTAGCTCCTTACGAACCACACCACCTGCTGGCCCCCGTCTGCCTTCATTCTTATCCTCT